AAATTCTTTACATTATAATTTAAATGCAACCATCATATACATGTGTATATATATATATATATAAAAAACTGCGGCCAGCACGGGCTTGTCTGAAAGTACCAACATGTCTGCGGTGTGGACGTATTTCCATATATCTGAGAAAGACCCACACATAGCAATTTGCAATTTGTGCAATGCTGAAATTTTAGAATTGCAAAGAATTTCTCCACATCGGGGTTAATTTATTATCTGAAATCACAACATCCAGATTGCTATGCTGAAACAGCGCACACTAGGAACTCCCTGCGACATTCACTTCACACACCTCTCTTTTTTCCAATATACTTATACATACAGTATATACAATAAACATGCATAAAATAAAAGATAAATCAGATACCAGTCAAATACGAGGAGAAAACCGTACCACCTTTCCCTGCAGTGTGAATATGGCCATGGAATAAAGACAGAACTTGAGTCGAAAAAAGGACAAAAGTGAAGAAAGCCTCAAAGCTGGAGATGTTCATTCAACCATCATGAACACTTTAACTCCTTCCACCAGAACCTTAGTCAGACACTAAACAGTGGCTGGGCTTTATTAACTGAACCAGAAGTAACACTTCTACGTCTTTGGCAAGGTCTTCCATGCAAAGCTTGGTGACCTGGAAGTGGCCTGTAGGTGTAGTGAGTCAGGTGGAGGAGTTTGTTGGGGACAAAAAGCTGGCTGTCCCTGTAAGGAGTTGACCACTCACTCCATCACATGGCATATGAAGTCAGGAGTCTATTAAAAGTGAGAGCGTCATCTACATGATGTTTCTTTTAACTCTTCTTTCTGAAGTCCACCCCCTTCACTTAAAGCCCTTTTCTTTTTTCTCTTCCTGCCCTTTACCATAATTTGGCCGCCTGTGGGAAATTGAGCCGTCTTGTGCGTGTAATCGCTTTAATGAAGGCCTGTTAAAGCTACAGTTTCTTCATCTCTTCCTCCCAGATTTTTCCAAAGCCTTGTAGCAACGATAGACCTTTAGCAGATGACAGTTCAATTGTTGGGGCCAAATGAGCATGGCAGGAAAAGACAGCAGGCCCAAGTACACCCTTGGGCAGACGTAACCCATATGGAGCTGCCTTTTCCACTTTCCATCCATCAAAATACATATTTAAACTCCCGTGAGTTGTCCAGTGTTTATAAAAAGTGAAATGAATGTAAAAAAAATGAATGTAATAAAAATTGGTGGTCTGTGACGACTTTACATCTGTCATGAAAAAAACTAAAATAAAATTCAACTGTTGACTTAGCATTTATAGTTCATTTACATTAATGGCCATAATCCTCAGATAGAGCATTGAGGGATCTCTGTGCTAATATGAGTCACGCGAGAATGATTACAAATGATTACAAAATTATATCCCAAGCATAAAATAACATAAAACACAGTCAAGAGGTCTTGGAACGAAAGAAAGCAAACATACTGTATATTCCAGTGGTGACGCAGACTACAAGTATTCAACTGCTCTGTTACAATATCACAGCGTACATGTACGTATGTGCCAACGTCACAAAACATCAACAGCAACAGTTTGGCATAGACGAATTCATTACAGATTTAAATTACAGACCAAGTTCCTGACACACAGTTATGAAACATAGAACTGTAAAAGAACTATAAAAGAAACCGTCATTAGTATCGGAAGGAGCCCCTTTACACAAACACAAAAGACAGAGTGAGTCTAAAACAAATAAACTTACTGTGAACGTTACACAGCCCCATTCTTCATATTCCTCGGAGAGCGAATGTGGGCCAGTCTTTTTCTAGAACATTCCACGGTAACAAATCATATTCATTTTTCACGTCTCAGCTCCTTGACGATAACGGACTTTGTCTACATATCTAACGTGGCCGGGATCTATCATGACAGATTTATAGTGTTAAACAAATTAAAATCTTTTTTTTTAACTTGTCGAGTTTTCTTCCTTTGTCCAGTATTTACGTTACCTGCTAAACCATGACGTTCGACCCGGCCTTAGTCAGGTGCTGATTGGTTGTTACAGCCATCAATAAATACGTCACACGTTTCATTACAAAAAAAAAAAAAAATCGAATGAGCCTATTTAAAAACATTACAGCTGCAAGGATATTTAATAAGGTGAACAATTTAATTTTGTTTTTTTGCCTTGAAGGGTCAATGATAGTCTACGACTTTACATTAAAGTACATTAAATATTAAATTAAATACATTTATTTAAACACATCGAATAAAAAATTCACTTATTATTGAAAGGAAACAATGATACAGCATGCAATCATAAATTCTCTACTGCTTATTTCTTTTTAGGGTCTAAATCTGCATGTTTTTAGACTATTTGGTGAAACTGGAGGACCTAGAGAAAACACACATTCATGAAAGAGAAAAAAGAGAAAAATTAAATGTGTGTACGCTAAGGTGTGTGCACATTGTCAATGTCATGTATACAGAGTACTTTTTCAGACAATTGGTGCCATCGTCAACCATGACATCCTACCAAAACTGTTTAATGTACACTCTTTTACCAAAAACATGAAATCAGATGTGAAAGACAGAGAAATGAGAGGAGTGTCTGAAGTAAATATGAGCTGCAGTTACAAAGAAAGAGATACTGTCATCAGAATGGCTCCACTTGGATGGCAGATGAGTAAAACAGTAAAAGTGACACAGGTGACTAACAACCAAACACACCCTCTTCAGCAAACGCACCCAAACAAGACACATCATCAGATAATACGTTTGCTGCGAAACTGTGAGGGCTGATGTCCTGTAACCTGATTCTGAAAACAAGTCCATATATTATTATAATTATAAAATATAACAATAATGGTTGATGTTGTGTTGTGTTTTATACATAGACCAGAAAAATGAAGGCGGAATCGAGATAATCAATACGTCCTGTTCCATTGTTTATCTACTCATTGTGTTATTCTTATCTTTCAACATTCCTAGGGATTATTAATTGGTGAGTCATGACCACAGATTGTTATAAGTCTCCAGGATAAAGACTGGAAGTCACGGTGATTGTGTCCACAGAAGCGTCAGATCAATTTCTAAAGAACTGTAGACAAAAACAGCCAATTGCCAACTCTGCTACTTATCTAATCAGACAAACGTGTTACATGTGCGACCTTGGCCTCCATTCATCCCATCAGTATAATTTTTGTCCAATTTAGCAGCTAGCCCTCTGCACAGCTGAGGTTTTTATTATGACATGCTGCATCCAGTAAATGTTGTGCAACATCTGCCTTTTTTCAAATCAGAATCAAAACAACTTAACTGCCATAAGGCAAGTTGTTTTCATTAGAAGAATTAAAAGAAGAAGAACAGGAAAATGAAAAATAAGGAGGAGAAAGGTCAGAAGTGGAGGTATAAAAGATGAAGAATAAAAAGAACAACAAATAGAGATAAAGAGATTGTTGCTATCATAGAGGAGGAGTAGGAGTAGGAGTTCAGCTGAATCACATGAAGGCTAAAACTGATGAGTTGACTGTTAGATCCCGGAGAAGGGGAGGATGTGCTGCAGATGTTTATCACACCAGCTCAATGTTCCTCTTTGTGAAAGGAGAAGTGAGTGTGACGTGACAGGAGGCCAGGGTGTGGAGGGTTTAGCTGCACCACATTCTCATTTCCTCATTAAATGACCTGGGCAGCACTGACGCTTAGCAACAACAGGTCTGTGCTTGCAACACAATGTGACCCCAAAAGGTGAATACCACCTGGGGCAATATCAATTGACAAAGTGTCCACGATGCACTCTAGGGAACCTCTCAAATGTGAAGAAACCTAAAATGTAGTTGCAGTTCTTCTAAATGATGGACACATACTGCTAAAGATTATTCCAGGGGTCTGCTACGTTCAACACCAAAAGAACCCTTTTTCTAAACATTTTACTGACAAACCAAAGTCACCACAAGTTGCACAACATCTTTGGCCATTTAACTGATGACAGTAATGCAATACTACTGATTCATATAAAAGTGCAATAACAAGATGTTAACAATTTATTGTTGTTTAACCTGTTGCCCCATAAAAGTAACCATAGTGATAAAAGTAACACAATCAATTCAAACACAATCAAATTCAGTGTGAAATATGACACGTACTATGATAACCAAATATTACCTTAATGTTCCACACCTAATACTATATTAGGAGGGACATTATGCCAATTTGCTGTTAGCAAACAAACCTCAATTTTTGTTAAAGGTTCATTTTTGTTGCAGCATCCTACATTTTATCTTCTTATAACAATAGTCAATTCGATGCTTCACTAGCACTATAGTGAGGCACTGCTGGCTGCGTGACCGATACATTCTTTATTAATCTTCTGAGGTAAATGTTGTAATCAGAGAATTGCTGGTTCCCATGATTGTGGGTGTTTTTTTGTAATCCAGCTCATGCTGCGGTGTAATCAGAGCCGTCAGCTGGTCACTTCTATACACACTTATTGAATTTCAAGAGATTCACAATATGATTCATATCAGAGGGAGTGCAGGTATGTGTGTATGTGTGTGGGGGGTGTTATAGATTTTCTCATCACTGAGTACATAAGTACACTTCCAAGTATCACATTCATTTAACTCTTCTAGTTAGCCTAACATGCGCCAATTCCCATCACAGCTAACAAAGTTCAAACCCACCGCTGTCGGTTCATCTCCCGGCCACTGCCTTTAGTCATTAGTGATGTGTTTACAGTCACTGGAAAAAACTGAAAAAAATGAATTCCTGTGGCTTGAGCAGCTGTGCTACACACACCACACACACGGCGTGTGTCGGCGTTCCCTGGTTCCACAGCTTTTGAATGCTGTCCTGTGTGATCCCATAATCTGTGGAGCTCAATCAATTTGGCATATGTTTCAAGTATGTTTCTGTGAATTTTAAAACTGTGGAAAATTAAAATCCTCCAGTTCATCAAAGGATCAGATAGAGACAAACATTCATTCACACAGAAATTCACACCTTTGAAGTATGAGAGGATGATGGAAAAAAAGTAATTCAGAATTACTGGATTAAATTAAATTAAATTAAATTAAATTAAATTAAATTTTCTTTTAAAATTGTGCAATATTAGATTAACTGTTTTATCTTGTCTGGCAAAATGCCCTAAAGTCTACTATCATCTGTAGAATTATCGTATTGACATTGACTGTTGTTTCTTTGTTAGTGGGCAGTGCAGCTCTGACAAAGTTGCTCATAAATAATTTGTTTGACTACCAAGAACTTTGCATTCTCCTTTCTCTTTTTTACTCAGAAAAGAGACACTGGTGACCTTTAATAGGTTAAAGATGAGGTCACCGTGAAACTGGAACTGACCATCGTCTGAAGCCAACCCTCTGTTTCCCTGAAACTACTTCTCTTTCTCTATTTCTCTGATTCTCTGCTGGCATTCTCTGCCCACTGAGGGTAGCTTTTCTTGAACTCTCTGTCACCGTGGAGGAATTGAGGAACATCAATTCACTCCCACAATCCCTCATCTGTTTAAAGTTGCCTTCACCGTCTGATATTCCACTGTTGTATTTTAACTTGTTCTTAATGTTTTAATGTTTTATTGTTTTTTTAATGCTGTGTTGTTATCTTTGTATTCACTGTAAGGTGTCCTTGGGTGACAGAAAGGCACCTATGAAATAAAATGTATTATTATTATTATTATTATTGTGAGGTTTTATTATATGTATAATGTTTACAGTTATAAACTTATCAACTCAGTTACAAGAAACTTCTTGTAATTGGTGCAACTGAAAACCCTGTTGTGAGGAGCTGTTTTGAGTGAAACTTCTGAACGCTTAATGACCACCAACCACAACCAAAGAACACTACACTGAGTTCCAAAGAATGGGGGACAACAACCAAGATGACAATCACTGTGACACTAGCAGTTCATTTGAGTTCTTTTGAGGCTTATGAAAAAAAAAAACTCACATGATCACAACATGGTTCAACGTGGGTTGTTTGAATTACTGATATATAATATACTTAAAGAAAGGCTTCATCTGATAATTAACTAAATATGCTAATCATTTAGGGTGCCCAATCAGAGTAGACCAAGTTGACAATTAATCAGTTTAGGAGGAAGTTAATTATTTGTAATAGACAAGTGTTTCTAGGGACTACAAGACTATAGAGATTATAAAAACGGTAAATGAAAAGAGAGAGGATGAAATGAACAACGATGAACAAGGTGAGATTAAACACAACCATATCTCAGATAAAATACTTCTGAAAAAGATACTGAGACAAATGAAAGAACCTCATCTACAACAGAAGAGTAGAGATCCTGGACTCTCTGTGCATGATATATCAGCGTCCAACTGTGAGGGAAGTGGACGAGGAAATGATAGGAAACAAGAACAGACCTCAGTCTGATGAACAGCGTCTGAAAAAAAGAGAATAAATAATATCTAGAGAGGAAGTGCATAAATGTGAGGAACCTGAATATGATGCCACTATGATGTAACTATGCTTTCTATGCAGTTCAGTCCAGGAAGTGCTTTCTGGGATCTGGGTCTTTCACAACAACGATTTTCTCAGTGGGAGTGTAAGTCGCTGGGTTTGTATTGAAACAAACCAAGAAAAGTGATGAGAATGTGATCCATTATATGTGTGTGGTTGTCCTTCAGAGACCCTAAAGTAATTTCATTTGTTGACAGTGACTTCAATAAAGAACTAAAGATCAACACTGGAGTTTAAAACTAGGAAAAATACACTATATACTGTATATGTATAGCAGAATTCAGATTCTAGGTTCTGTCAAATTGTCTGCACATCAATGAACAACCAAAAGTATAGCACCAAACATCTGAAGATGAGAATCTGGCCAGTTGTTCCTCATTCCCTTTAACATCTGTTCCTCTTGAGTGTTCTGGTTTTATCTGAGTACGTCACCAAGTCAGTGCAGAGTTTTATTTTAGGCTGATCTTTTCACAGTACATCGTCTGTCGATTTCCCTCACACCATGGCTCCAGAAATCCAATAATTACCTCATCATGTGTCACTTTTGTTCTCTTCTAGAGTCGAGCGGCGGAGTGTGTCTCACAGAGTGGGGCGCACACACACACAGACACACACACGGAGAGATGAAGCAGTTCAATTTGGACGGCATTTTTGGTAGAATCCTGTTAACTTTAATGTTCTGTGGTAGCTTAAGTTGTTAGTGCCAATCTGTTCAATGGCGCAGCTGCTAATGTGAAAGATTTTTAAAGAAGCTGTGGCAGAAACAATGAAATTGAATTAACTTCAAAACAACTCGGTATTTATTTATTGACTTCTTTTACTTCTTTTATTAGCTACATGACTTTTGTTATTGTTCCATATTTCTACTTTGAAGGTCATGAGTATTACTAGGCAATACTCCTGTACCTCTGCTCCCTTTGGTCTGTCAGCTGTAGCTGTAGCTCCCTGAGTTTCAACAGATCTGGGGTGGAAACCTGTGTTATCTTGTCCTACACCATCGACATGGAACAACCTCCACCAACAAACTCCATTTCTACCAATACCTTAAACGGTATCGTAAAGACTGTAGTGATAGAGACATCTTGTTTTTATAGTAATTTTTTAAAATCTTATTTTGTTGTTGTTGTACACGGTGAAATATTTTGCTGTTTGAATTTTAAGTATTTTTCATTGGCTGCTGCCTTGTAACTTTTCTTTCTGTGCATGGGTTACTTCAAGGTAAGGGTAAAGGTTCAACATCATTGTTTTTCTCTGCACTGGGGAAATTATTGTGTTGCAGCTTCATGGGGCACAGAGGCAAAGACTGCACAAAAGGAGTGTTCAAATTACAACACAACAACAACTAGAACTTGGAGAAAAATGACTAGATTTAGAAGAATTCAAGATATAAAGTGCAGAATAACAGTGTGATACACAACCATTTCACAGTTGTGACAGATGAACAGTATATATTGCACTAAAACCTGTAATACAAGACTGTATATATTGATCTTATAATCTTCCCTCCCTGACCCAACCCTCCCCATTGAAGTTAGAAGCGTGGGCAGAGGGTGGCATCAAAGCAGGCTTTCATTCCCATTCCCAAATCACCTTTATCCCAAGTAGAAAATGTCATCATCTGTGTGGAATTAATATAAGATACACTTGCCTGTCAAAGTTGGTCCACCTGCAGCTCTTGACTGACACACCAGACCAGTGTTATACAGTAAGTGGGGAGCAGATAGGAAGGGCTTTCAGCTAGCTTGCTAACAGCAAAACGGCACAGTGCTGCCTTCAGGTCTTTGTATGTGATATAAGTGAGTGTGTCATACAAAATTTCCTTGATCATTGTCTGCTTTTAAAAGCTGTAGCTAGTGTTTTTCCTATGGTACAACAGGGTAAATAATAATAAAATGTCAACAGATGTCATGACGTTTTACTTCCTTATATACGTACCTGCGGTATTGTCGCAGAGCTTAGACTTTTATACTGCCATCATTTACTGTAAATGGAGGAAACATTTTTATAACTTCTGGTTAAATAAAAAGAAATCACAATCATGGTGTCAAAGGTTGACTCCTGACCTTTTCTTTTAGAGTTAATGATGTTCAATACATAATTCTTTCAGCTGTAAAAATCAAAAACCACAATGGAAAGTCATCATTCCACTATTTCGCAGAGCCGCACACCTGCACGCGCACACACGCAGACAAATATGTATATTCACAGGTGACTTAAGGTAAAGGTAGGAGGTGGCATTCCAGGAGATGTGAGCATGCTGGGGCTCATGGGCCTGTGGCAGATGATTCATTCAGACAAAGACGTCTTTCTATCAAACAGGTGTTCATCTAAGCTCATGTCTCTCACACATCTCTGAGGATCTGTCATTTCATTCCTGTAATCTCACTAAGAACGTATTCATCTCAGTAAACATAATAATCCCAAAACATGAGGCTTGGAGTCAGGATTAGACCTGGGCTATTGTCAAGGTACTTGTAATATTTCAACAACCAGTAATTCCTGAAGTTATTTACCAGTTTTTGGTGAGTATTACCTCCTTGTATCTCAGAACAGGCTCTGGGATTATAATGATCTTTTTTAAATATTTGCTCTTATCATCAGCAGTACCTTGAAAATTGGCCATGCCCTGACAGACAATGTTATGCTTCATATAGCCTACTTTTTTTACTTTGTTTTTATACTTGACACCACTCAGCCATCCTCTCCCAGCCTGCAGGGCAAAAGAAGGCAGCAGTGTGTCTCCTCCTCCAACCTCCTACTCCTCCCACATCTCCGAGAGCTGGAAGCTGGCCAGCATGGGATCGGTTTCCTGTCAGGGGAGGAAACTGGTGCGCCAGGATATCCATATATGGCCAGGATTCTAGCAGTTGGAATAGTATGACTCAGGGTTAGGGTAGTTTGTACATTTTATTGTACACAAATGAATTTCTTCCTTTTGAACACTGTTGCAATGTGTTTTTATACAGAAGATATATTTTACTGACTAATATATTTTGAATATTGACATACTGGAATGTGTGACAATTTATTAGTTGTTGCATTTTCTATGACCCATCTATCCATCCAATAATTCCATTTAGTTAGGACAATTTTAATAAAAAAAAACTATCCACACTGATCTGGAGTTTTATTAATTTTTATTCAATTAGATCAGCAGTTTGAACAGGAATTACAGTGTTTAAAATAAAAAGCTAAAATAAAATGAAGTTACAGTAAGCATAGATTTTAAGCAATAACTGTGAATGTGTCAAGTGTGCGTGTGGTTGGGGGAATGCTCTTAAAAAAGATTAAATCACATTTAAAAAGAAAAAACCAGTAAGAGATAAAAACTAGGAATTAAATGGTGGTTCGTGCAACACAGAGACAAGGGATTAAAAAGGTCAGCTCTTAAATGAGTGACGCCCAAAAAAGTTCTCAAACAAAGCTACTTACAGAACTAAGGGTGCTGTGATGTGTTTAATAAGGTAGATGGGCTTTACAGGAACCTTCCTTAGCTCTACTTACTCTTACACCAACCCTTGAGAAGGTACCATTTTTGAACAGTCCTACTACAGTCCTGCTAATTCCCCTTTGCTTCTCTACACTGTGGTGGAACCCACATAGTTCCTGTCCAGTGTTCCTTGTAGTAGTTCCTCCGGTGGAAGTGCTAGATAACAACACAATTTGGTGAAAAGGACATAAGCTGTCATGACCAGCCCGCTGAATAGGAAAATGCACTTCAACGTTTCATCATCATTTTATACAAGGACTCGACTATTGAGGAACCTGAGATGTGATTAGTTGATTGATTGGTTTTATTCTTTGCTTAAAATTACAGGTACTCTGTAAATTAGAACTCGTTGTTATTAACACTTCGTGATGGTAACTGCACAATATCAAATGGTACTGGATGAACTTCAAACTTTTATTTGTATTACTTCTTTAAGACCTGAATTAAAGTTTTGATGTAATTCTTTCTCTTCTTTTCTAATTTGGGGCACTCGGTGAATTTTACCGGTGATGTAGTGTGAATGTGTGTTTTTTTTTTTTTTTTTGGTACCTTAACAACCACGCACACACCGAATCTGTCTCGTCTTGTTTACAGTCCTGGTAGTTCCTGGCAACAACGTCATCTCGTCTACGTAAAAAGTCGCAGGCGGGGTCTGGAGACAGCCAATCAGAGAACAGGTTGGAGAGAGGCAGGACTGAGACGACATAAATGGAACTGCCCGCTACGGCCGGCTGTCATAACAGCGCGTGAGAGAAGTAGAACCCGAGACAGAACCAAAGGATTGAAAACATCTGATTAAGTCACTGCCCGAGTCCAATCAAAAGGTACACATCGACGACTTGGTACAGTAACAGTTGCACTATTTTGGAAGTTTTTCTCTTGTTTTCGATAACTTTGAGCTTCAGGGACTTTGTGCTGGAGGTTGACTCGGTTCGGTGACACTTAAGCCTCTGTGTCCAGCCGGCATCATCTCCATCTGCAGCGCTCCTTTTTCCTCCTCTGTGTTTATAGACTGTCTGATTTGAAATATGCCCACAATTATGGAACAGCCTTTTTATGACGACTCGTTTCTCTCTGCTTATGGCCACCCAGGCGCTGCGTTGCCAGACTACAAGCTGTTAAAGCAGAACATGAACCTGAACTTCTCCGATTCTTATCGGAACGCAAACTTCAAGTCCCAGCACCTGCGCGGAGCCGACGGTGATTTCTATACCGCAGCGGCAGCAGCGGACGTGGGCTCCCTGAAACTCGCTTCTCCCGAACTGGAGCGACTCATCATCCAGAACAGCAACGGGATCATCACCACCACACCGACACCGCCTCAGTACCTGTATAACCGCGGCATCACAGAGGAGCAGGAGGGCTTCGCGGAGGGCTTTGTCAAAGCGCTGGACGATCTGCACAAGATGAACCAGATGGCTCCTCCAAACGTGTCCATCAGTACCGGCGGCATGGCTGCCTGTTCGGCTCCAGTCTCTGTGTTTGGTTCCCCTATGCAGCCGGAGCCGCTGGAGTACACTACTCTGAGCAGCTGCGCCTCTAATTCAAGCTTGTCTTCAGCGGGCAGCTATCCGTCCACCACCATCAGCTACCTGCCCCATCAGTTCCACCAGCATCACCAGGCGGTTGCGCACGGATCCCATTCCTTTCAGAACTCTCTGGCCGCCGCGGGTATGTACTCACAAAGGTACGGTGGCCTTAAAGAGGAGCCCCAGACCGTCCCTGACATGCAGAGCAGCGACAACGGCTCCCCGCCGATGTCTCCCATAGATCTGGAGAATCAGGAGCGCATAAAGGCCGAGCGCAAGAAGCTGAGGAACCGGCTGGCAGCATCCAAATGCCGGCGGCGCAAACTGGAGCGCATCGCTCGACTGGAGGACAAGGTGAAGGTGTTGAAAAACGACAACGTTGGACTGTCAAACCGGGCGTCTCTGCTACGGGAGCAGGTGGCTGAGCTCAAACAGAAGGTAATGACACATGTGAACAGCGGCTGTCAGCTCATGCTAGCGCCCAAAGTCAAGTCATACTGAAGAAACAACGAAAGCACTTTACCTGATCGAAAAACACTGGACACGAACTGCACTGACATCAATGAACTCTGTCTTCAGAGAACGGATGGATATGGACTATTGTGTTTTCTAGAACTCGGAAAACAAACATGACTAAAACACTTGGAACATTTTAAGATACGTTTTTAAAAGTGTCGTCCTGACTCTGCCTGTTTACATTTTCTTTGGCTGCATTTGTTCATGTTTGTATAAGTTATTTCTGTTTGTCAAGCTAAGCTTGGCCAACTTCTATTTTCGTTTTTTACTTGTACAGTATATTTAAGTAAATATAATATACCAAATATACATGACCCTGTGTTTTTATTTTATTGAAATAAATGTATTCTTAGCTTAGTAAAACTTCCGTATGTATGAATTAGTTACGACAGTACCTGGAGGTTTGCGTAGTTTACGGCACTTCCGCCTCCTCGACGTCCCAGCTGCGTAGGATTGTTTCCTTTAATGACGCACACACGTCACACCCTTGAATGGGCAAATAAGCAGACTGACGTCACGGCTCAGAGAGATCTTTTCGGGAACTCCCTCCTACATTGCCGGTCAGAAAAGCTGCTCACTCCCCGTTTTCTAACACCACATTGCAAACGTATACGCAAACATCGGTGTGTGTATGTGTGCGAAAAGTGTTTGTCAATGGGTGGTTTATTTAAAGTGAGGGAATTTCCCTCGCTGGGCTTTCAGTTTCCCAAAACAAGCAATGTGAAGCATTCGTTCAAGGAAAAATGGCTGCTGAATGTTCCGGAAAAGACTGAGGGTTTATAAAAAAGGCTGGATTTACTAGAAACTGAGACAAAACAAATTTAGAAACGGAGACGACCCTGATACAGCTGAAGACAAAATAATATCCCAAGTTAACAATGTAATTCTTTCCAAAATATATGAATTATGTATGTACAACAATATAATTTTAATACAACATACCTGAATAAACTAGTTTTATTTAGTAAATTTGACTTACCACAAAAATGTGACTAATATTTAAACACTTGGGGGCTATTGACCTATTGATTTAACCAGGGCATAAACATTTGATGTGAGATATAATAATACTATTTAAGTATTTTGGCAAAAGGTATGATACCAAAGTATGTATATTGCCCAGGGTAAATATATAATACATTAATATTAATACGTTTAAAGCATCAGGAATCAGAATACTAAATTAGAATTTAGTAAAAGCCAATATTGTCAATGTCTAAGTTATTTGCAGACTATACAAACAGTTTGTATAGTTCCGTCACACAAGTATATGTTGTCATTGCCAAAATTTCAAAATTTCACAATGAGTTCTGCCATTTAGCAACTTTTCTACGGGCTCACTCATAACGAGTCCAATATTAACCAAGAGTTCACCGATATGTAACGTGCTTCCGTCCAGATCTGGAACTACTTCTGGAAGATCCATTGCTCCACCTAGTGGCGACATTTGGCACAAACAGTGCTTCTGGGGCGCTTTTTTCCACGACAGAACAATGTTTTTTGTTTTCCAGGCTTTATTTCAAAGGTAGCAACAGGAATTGCTGCAACATTTCAAAGGACATTTTCTGGACTTTTCAAACAAAAAGGAAAAATATTCTTTCAGTGCTTTAGACTATGAGGTCAACTTAAAGACTGCAGAATTCAACAAACATGTTTTCCCCACCTAACAAGTTCTGATGTTTAGATTATTAGACTCATCATCTGAATACAAGTGCTTTACAGGTCTGTTAGAGGAACATCATGTTTAGTGTTTGGAGAAGTACTCTTTGCTCTTCTCCACATCAGGGACCATGGTGTCACTTCCAGGTTTCCAGCCAGCAGGACACACTGAAGACAGAAACAAGTATAGAGTGTAAAGATTAGTAATCAGTGGTAAATGCTGAGTGTTTAGGGAACGGATGTACGACTTTGTATGTCATACATACAGTTTATGTATGACATGTTAAACATTCAAATTGATTCCTAAATTTTCTCTCAAGGTACAATTACTCCCAGGTACAATTGTGTGAGTTTTTGTTTTCTTATTTGGTTGTAACTTTGGTATTTAAAAATCAACATGCTGCTGCTGCTACAGGCAGGAATAAAACTAGTTAAATTGTTAATTTAATTAAAGCCCATGCTTTTTTGCACATTTCGGTTATGTTTTAGTTTGGTTAAAAAATGATTTAGGTTCAGAACCAAAATATTGGACTTTTAGAACTACAGTATGTGAAGTAAAGAAAAACTGTGTGCAGAGTTCTGTCTTTGCATTTAGCACTGAGTATCATTCTACTTTACCTAAAAAAACAGTTTTTTAGGAGTTCATAAAACTAAAACTCATTTCTCACCTTCTCCATGTTTGTCAGTGAACTGGAAGGCCTGGACCAGGCGCAGAGTCTCATCCACAGAACGACCCACAGGGAGGTCGTTGATGGTAATCTGCCTCAAGATGCCCTTCTCATCGATCACAAACAGGCCCCTGAGAAAACAGATCAGAGATATGATGCAATGCAAGAACACCAAAAGTACCAGTGTTGGTTTTATTACCATTTTTTTCTGAACACACATTATTACTAAACAGAAAATAGTTTAAATGAGCAGACGTTTGCCAAACCTGTATGCAATGCCATCATCCTCCTTCAACACACCATAGTCTGTGGAGATAGACTTGGTGAGATCAGCCACCAGTGGAATGTTCATATTACCCAGACCACCCAGCTTTCTTGGTGTGTTAATCCTTTTAAGAAAATAACATCATTATTTAGTAAACAGATGTGCACACTTAAAGAGAAAATGAGTTTCTTAAAAATAAGAATACAAGTGACAAAACGTCAGAGTTACTACACAGGGCGTGTAATCCTTCCCTGAAGGTCTGTAACATTTTATTCAGATGAAGTTTGATCGTTAACCCAGAATTTATCAGGACCATACAGAAGTCAGAGAAGAAAAAAAACCGTTACACTGGGGCTGAGCTGTCATGCACCATGTCTGCCAGAAAAACCTTCACCACGTGAAGAGGGAAAAAAATGCCAGTGCGGTATATTTTGAACAATCAATAAATTATAATCCTAAATGCAAAAGAAACTTTCCTGGAACCAGTCAGAAAGAAACTTCAGAAAGACGACAACCAACACAGAAGAAAACTAGAAATTATTGGCGGTTAGCTGCAACAGTATACTGTGTGAGGTTATGGAGTGTTTCAGAAAAATGACAAGTGCAAACTTTTTGACCTCCAACTTGAAAAAGTTTAGGACCAGAACGAGTGAAGTTGAAGCTAGACTGGCAGCCAGGCATCTTAGTAACATTTTAATTATGAAGAAGACCCTTGTTCTTAAATGAACAAGTTAAATGCATTTGAAGACTTCATGGAGTTGTGATAATATATGAAACAGCTTCCAGGAAAGTAAAGTAAAAACACTGTTTTCATTTATCCTTAAATAATAGCTCAGCTCACACAAACCTGCCAACACACGTCAACCAGCATTTAATTGTGAGCTCAAATACTGAAGCACTGACGCAGGTAATGATCCCATAGTAGACAACAATGCCACAAATGACGCTTCTGCTAAAGAGGCGATGTAATAGCAGCAAAGAAGAATTCTTACCATGCCAAGTGACTGAAGTGAGAGTCGATGGAGCAGCCAATGACTTCACAGCCAATTTTGCGGAATTCCTCAACCCTGTCACTGAAAGCTACAATTTCAGTTGGACACACGAAGGTGAAGTCCAGGGGATAGAAGAAGAAGACCACGTACTTTCCTGGACAGCATCAGAGAAAAATGTGAAAAGTTTAAATTTTAGTGTGATAAAATATCCTACCCCCAATCATTCTAATGAAAAACTAGGGAGGAATAATGAAATGGTGAATTCAAGACTTAAAAATTATGGGACTGTGAAATAGACACAATGTTTTCCAAAACAGATGCATTGCAGTTTGACACAATTTAAATTAGACTACATCTTAAAGCCTACATGATCTTTGATGAACAAAATATTCTACACTCTACAAGATAACTACCGTTTTATTCAAATATAACTTAATTTAGAATAGCGTGACTATAAATTAAATACTCACTTTTTTTGGTATTGATACCAAAGACTGATACAGTCTGATAATAATAAAGACACTTTTAATTACCTTTATAGTCTGACAGTTTGACCTCCTTAAATTGTCCATCTACCACAGCTGTGGCCTGAAACTCAGGTGCAGGTTTGCCAATTTGAGCCTTTCCAGCTGACATGGTGGCGTTGATGAATGACTTAAAGTAAAAAAGCGGGAAATTAGTGACTTGAAGAAATTTCAACTGTAGATAAAGTGCAGCTGGGTGGAGCTCGGAGCCCCGTGTGGAGCTGAGATAGCAGAAAAGCTCAGTGATAATATAAGCTGAAAAACAAATAAGACATTCAAGTTTGAATACCCCAGGGTTTGAACCCAGTCCTGGGTTTGAGGTAGAACTGGTGCATGCCTTAAAGCTAAAGTCAAATCACATGCAAGTCATGTTCAGCCAGCAGAAAATAACAGGGTATTAGGAAACCTTTTACATAACCTTGACCAGAAGAACCGAGTGAAAAGGTTCAATGAGTTTTAAAACATACAACGTGCAAGGTTTATCTATCCTGGCTAATTGCCAAGTATGCACAAAAGAACTTGACATCAGAAATGCAGATTCTAATTCAAACGGTCGTTTTAATCCACCAAGCCTACACAAAGGCAATTACTAAGGGGAAAAAAAATCAGATAAAGGCTTGCACCCAGGACCAGATCATGAAACAATTTTAACTATTTCAGTTGGAATCCGATTTCAAACCTTATTGAACAATTATGCAACCAAGGTAAATCATGTGGTGGATTTGTGGAACGTAGTAGGATCGGAGCTGGAGTCTCGTCTGGCTGAGGTTCACTATGTGCTTTGTGATCCCAGTTTATCACCGTATCTGTTCTAAAACCTTCCGAAAAAAGGGAAACTACTTTTTACTAATTTTATTAAGATGTACAATGTGAGGCTGTATTTGTTATGGTGAACAATCGCAGTAAATTAATTTAAGCTTTACTTTAAATAGCAACTATATATATATATATATATATATATATATAAAACATAACCAGTCATACAAAAGAAACATATATTGTGGTCAAAGGCCTACTTTGCATACACAACTCAAAGTTCACCAATGGGTTTAAATACAATTTCAAACATTAGCAGCACCGGCGGCTGCATAGACTGGACAAAGGAGAAAAAAAGAGCCCAGACCAGTAAGAGCCCCTGTACGGGCACAAAGAAAGTTCCAGAAACAGCCTCAAACACCAGGGTAAAGAAGGAGGGGAGCTACTGTCTAGCTTAGCACATATTAGCTCCAGCTGCTAAAAGCCTTTCTTTTGTTATCGTCTCAACAAAAACTACTCCTGATGCTCCTTGAAGACGTTTCATTTTGCATTAGCCTGAAATAAAATAAAAAAATTACACACCTGTCTCTAAGGTAAAGCCGCGATGAAGTTGACGCAGCGAAGATGTACTTCTTTCCGGAGGAGACTAGTAAAAGAAAGGAGGGACTGCTGCGTGAAAGAAGAAGAAACGGGACATCGGGAACAGAAGAATTGTCTTTTCAAAATAAAGGTTAGGTTTTTTTGGAACGATAGTAGGCTATAACCCTGCAGTTTCACCTAGTTTTAACTTTAACCAGTATTTCTGCAGATTATTGAGGAATCTAAACTGTTGTCTGGCCATTAGCACATAATAATAAAAATGCTCTGCTCGCCTTTTTTAAATGTTGTTACATTTTTACATTAACTTATTTCCTATTAATGCTACATGTTGTTTGTGTTCTTTTTAGAATTAAATAATATGTGTAATATGTGCTATGCTTTGTTTTGCGGGTGTGTTTGAACTGGCACAAATTAATTCAATGTTGTAATGGAGGTCCACTAGGTGTCAGTAAGGTACTACACTTCTTGACTCTTGCAATTCATGCTCCTGGAGCGTCACCCGCTCATCAACTGAGCTCCTGCTTTTAATTTGAAAACACTACCAACACCGGATACGTGTGCTGTCTCGTTTTTGCTAAGCTTGTTATTCTTTAGCCGATATTTAATTTTAAGACATTCATTTGAGGTTTAAATTAACAAAGACTGGTAAGTGATTAGTTCATTGTGTTCTTTAAGCAACCACAGAGGCTATGCATTTACTAACTTTTCTGTTATATTACATTTACTACTGTTAGCATTTAGCTGACGTTAGCTCAATTTAAGGTTGATACAAAAGGTTTTTTTTCTGGTCATATATTCAGAGAAATAATTTTAACGTAATAAGATGGTCGTATTGATTGTATTAATAAACAACTTGGAAAAGATCTAATATGTAGATGTGGAATTCTCCATTATCAGCTCGTTGTTCTGACCTACAGTTTTGCTTCCTTTTTCTTTTCGTGTGGTTACTTAATTGTTTCATTACGTTGTGTTAAAGTTAAAGAGTAGTCAAAGATTATTTTCTTAGACCGGGCTACTTCAAATTCACAAGTCGTTGCCTTAAAAATTTATGTGATTTTATTAAGTTTATTAAGTTATTTCTATTCATTAACCTATTTTTAAATAGGGATCCTGCATTCACAGAAATATTCTCATCTGCCAAAGTTTAATTCCTATAATGTCAAAATTGGATGCACAAGATAAAAGGAACTTTATGGTACATTTAAAATCAGGTGCACTGAGTGTAATAATGATCATGCTGATTTTAATTTTAGGATTAAGAGACAACTGATCAATCTCAACCTGAGACCCAATATGTGGTCACAAACTCCATATTGAACTCTCCCACAGCTGCGTCAAGCAAGTTCTAGTAAAGTCTGTGGAACATACTTCAAGTCAAATCGGGGTTTATCAAGTCACGCCCGCTTACATCTGCACCACCTGGTTGTGCCACTGTGAGGGTGAAGCCGAGCTGCTCTAAAGCTTCTCCAACAGCTCATCGAAGAGCTCCCTTCCCAAAGCATCCCATCAGCAAATTCCCCCCAAACCAACAACCAATCTGGAGTCCAGAACTCTCTCTGCACCAGAGGATGAGGATTCCTCTTCCAAGGCAGGTGTTACCGTCATGACATCCCCTCAAAAGATAACTCAACACAGATCTTCAGTTAGCTCCCCTGAAAGAATCAGAGAATCAGGGGACGTGGTCCTCCCGTTGTCTCCTTCTGGACTCAGTAGTGGTGAAGGCAGCACCTCCTCCTCTTCCTCCTCAGAAAAACCAACTAAACCAATATGGGCACCACTGGAAACAGATGCCCCTATAAGCTTGAGTAAGTCTGCATTCTGTAGTCATTCTTTTTAAGGAAATAATGAATGATAATGTGAGTAAATGTATAGAGAAAACAGATCTTTATGTTTTTGGAGTTATTTCTTGCTGAAGTGATGTTCCTCTTATACTTTTCTTTACATCACCATAGACACCATTGATGAGGTCCATGTGTGCCAGCTCTGTGGCTGCTGGTATGAGACACGTAAAGGCCTGTCCAGTCATGCCCGGGCCCACCTGCGACAGATTGGAGTTCCTGACAATAATATTAAGTGCAGTCCTATTGATTTCCTTTACCAGCTAATGGAGGAAGAAGACCTCAAACCCCTCGCCAGTTTAACGGAGGAGCCACTCACCTCAGACACTTCCACTAAGTCTTCCTTCAAACGTCCTGCTGATCTTTCGTCTCCTTCCTCATCTCCTTCTGTTAAGAGGCTCAAAGTGCCAGAGGAATGTATTCTGTGTGGAGATGAGTTTGAGAACCGTAAAGGTCTGGGAAGCCACGCCCGTTCTCACCTGCGTCAGATGGGAATGATTGATTTAATGGGGAAAAACACTGCAATTGAGACCATTGAAGAGCTGGTCAAAAGTGGGATGTTAAAAGCCTTGTGCCCCTCCAAAAAAGCCAGTAAATCCAGTTCATCTGCAGTTACATTCACAACACCAGCATCTCCTGATGCCCTACGTTTGTCTCCAGCTGTGGTCCATACTCAGAGTGCTGTAAAAAACATACAGTTGCCTCTTACTTACATTACCAAGGCTCCAAAAGCTAAGAAGGGTTCTCGGTTCGCAGTGGACCCCCTGCATAGAAAAACTAAACCTGAGTCAGTGGAAATTGATATATCTGTTCAACCAGAGGCCTCCATTATGTCCATCACCAACACACCCACGCAGGAGTCACCTACTGCTGTTGGATCTTTAAAGTCTTTCAGTACAGGTTTGTTTCTCTATGTTTTAATTATGTTTAAATTATGATACTGATTCTTATCTAAATAATCACAGAGTGGCTGGAGAGTATTCATGTTTAATCAGGATTAATTGCAGTCATGATTATTCACGTTTTATTATGATTAAACTTGATCTTTAATTAGTCATATTATCATCATTGATTAATCAAGATTAATTAACAACACAGTACAAATTTTTTTTAATGATCTATTTTGCTATTGATATTACATTTGAGTCTCCATTCTTACTGGTGTTCACATTGTCTCTTTGACAGATGTTGAGTCGCCACCAACAGTCCCTTGTGACTTCTGTGGTCAGCTATTTGAAACCCGTAAAGCCTTGTCCTGTCATGCTCGGGCCCACCTGCGCCAGCTGGGCCTTAATTGGTCCATCAAAACATCGCCAATTGACCTCCTGAAAGAGGTCATGGAACACGGTGAACCCTCAGGCAAAAGCACAGTGCAGGGCTCCAAGCGGCCTCTGGATGGCCCCCAGGCAAAGGAAAGTGCCTCCAACAACTGCACCACACCTCTGGATTATTCTGTGAAAGAGAAATCCCTGTCTGGCAAGAGCGGAACTGCACAACCTGGTAAGACATAAACACCAGTATGAGTCAAGAGATTCCGCTGAAGCAAAACGTTCCACAAAAGTATTGTTTTCCTGCAAAGTTCTGGATTTTCCTTGAAGGATCAGTCGGCGTTGTTTTGTTCAGTTACAGTTAAAGTTATTGTGATTTCTCAGCAGAACAACAACAGTGTGGTTTACTTTAGTTAAAAGGAGCCTTTGATTTGAAATCTTCTTCCACTAAAATAAATTTCCAGATATATTTGAAACGCTTTGAGCCTTTTAAAAAGTTAGACCATATTAGAGACTTGTTGTTGGAGCTTGATCATCTGTCAGTATGGACTAAAACTCTAACCATGGCTGTGGTGTTTACCCAGTGTGTTGTGTTTCTTGTGTGTGCAGCATAAAGCTGCAGATGAAATCACTGCAGCATTATGGGATTAAAATGGCAGAATAGGTTGGAATATACCACAGTATTGGTGCCTGCATTTCAAATGATTGCAAAATTGTTCCATGAAATTGGCAACGCAACAGTCGCAGTGGTTCAAATGTACCCATCCAAAAAGTGTCTCATCCCCTTTGTGACAGAGACGTCCTGTGAGCTCTGTGGATTTAACTTTGAAAACCGCAAGGCCCTCGCCAGTCACGCGCGAGCCCACCTCCGACAGCTGGGAATCATTGAATGGAAGGCAGACGGCGCGAGGTCGCCAATCGAGCTCCTGAGCGAGTTGATACGAAAGGACCCGGTCAAAGTGGCGGCGATTACACCACGCCCTCAAAAGGGAGACCCTTTTATCCAGAAGGCGGGAAATTGTGGAAAAAAGTGAGAATTGATGGAAAACATTCTTGATGTCAGAATGGAACATTTCTATATACTGTATGTACAGTTACATTACAGTTACAGAGACCAGAAAGGTTGTCTTGTGTGAACCCCCAGGTGTAAGAAAAGAGGAAGAAAGATTTATATGAGAAACTGTAAATCATCAAGGGCCAAAAAATAATCTGTTCAGTTTTTTGGCTCCAAAATTCCAAAAGCTACAAACAAACATCAGTGCAAGTTAAGTTCCATTTCCAAAAGGCCAAAGTGAAGAGAAGAGAAGAGCAGAGTCCATACCAATAGAACAACCAAAAATAAATAATAAACATCTAAAGAGATTCAACAAACAAACAAAGGACTGCAATTCACCAGGAGCCAGAACTGATGCCTAAACTGATATATAGAGCTTGAACCTCCCTCTTAGTATCTTTTGGGTTCACTTGTGCTGTGTGTGAACTGTTGCCCAGCTTGAATGAGTCTTTGAGGTGTGTATTTGTGACTGGAAGGAAACCTATTCTTTTAGCAATTTAAGACAATATTCAGTATCAATGTAAATGTTAATTTTAATGCGTTTAGTAAAATGTGTTGGGAACATAAAATGCTTTGAATACCAAAACTTTCACGACCCCCAGCGCAGTACCTCCATCTATCCTCTAGGGGTCACAGACTCCCTGTTGAAGACCAGGGAGTCTGTTGCAAAAAATTTGGTAGTTAATAATAATTAATCCTAAAGTAATTATAAGGAAATAATATTTCTATTGAATTGTATTTTTTTCTGTGTCAAAGGTAAAATATTGCAGGGCCCCTAAATGAAGTACTTTCCAAAATGAAGCTTAAAAATGTGTTAGTTTGTTTAAGATACTTTCTGTTCTCCAAGAGTTCAATCCATTTCATCACAAACTGTCAACAGTCAGCCATTCTTCTCTCAGTCCCACAGAAGTTCTGCTTCACCCCCTCCGTCCGCTGACCCTGAGTCTGTGCTGAGCAGCAGCTGGAGGCCAGAGCACAAGTCGGGCAGAGAGGAATCTGGCACCGCCGCAAACCCCACCAGACAACTGCAGGGCCACACACGAACAAATGCAGCCCACAGCAGCCCCGGTGTTCGTTCGCCAAGGGGTAAGTGCCAGCCTTAACGCTCCCACTCTGTCCTGAATGCATCTTCAATCGTTTTCTAGAAAAACCACATACAGAGTTGGTTTGAGGAACGGTCGGGTCCAAATTCCTGAGAACGCTCACACACACACACACACACACCTCGGACAGATAATACCTCGATTCCACCGACTTTAGTGAAACCACCAGGGTGTTGTGACCAGAGTGAACCCATTATGAAACAGTATTTAACACCCCTGCTTGTCCGTGTGCCCTCAGTATCAGTATCATGACGGATGATCCTGCTCCTCACCACAGTCTGAAGTCAGCATTCAGGATTTGTTGTACTTTCCTTTTACTTACATCTCACCAAAATTGAAATAAGTAGTTCTTTAGAATTCGTTTTTACCTTCTAAGGCCTCTAGGTGGAGCAGTCATCAGGCGAGGGCAGATAACCTCCAGCCCTCTACTCACTCAATCTGAGTGTTTGGAGTGTGAGAAAGACTGAGCACTGACTACTGCCACCTTGTGGATTCTTCTCCTAATGTCCACACTATCCAGTAAAAGATTTGAACTATTTGACTGGTTAACCACAAGTTTAAACTGTTTTTTTTTTTTGACCAGTGGGAACAAGGCTGTGAGAAACGGTGCACTGTTTCACTGTGATGTTGACATGTTCAAATGTTAAAATCAAGTGCTTAAAGATAAATGTGTTATTTAGTCAGCAGACAGTAACCACACATTCTTTCTCTCTAAAGATTCAAACCTGTGGTGTGCTGCAGCAGCACAGGTAGGAATGTGGTGGTCTCAGGGTCCTGGAAACACACACACACACACACACACACACACATCATTGTAGTCAGACTGTGTTCTCACAAACAGACATGACGTCAGTTTGTACTTGACAACAGAGTTGGAGGAAGGCAGACCTGATCATCTGTGGTAAATCCAGGGGGTCTTTTTTATGCCAGGCCCCAACACTTGTACTCATCTGTGTCTGGATGTGATTTAATGACTCATGATGGATGTTAATACCAGCTCTGAACTCACTTTTCCTCTTCATGTACATGTAACACTTCTATGTTGAAATTACAGGGCTCCATCCGCCAAAACACACAGTGCCCACAGGCTCAGCGAGGGGAAATCAGGACACCACCTCCCAGCAACCATCACGGTCCGGCAGCATCCCAGCCATGCTGCCAAAACCACCACTGACACCACTGGTTAAGCTGGTGGGCAAAGTCTACTCACTCAAATGCAGGTCAGTCAAAAAAATGGGTAAAATGTAAAGAACAACATTTGTGTTCAGTGAATCAGGTTCAGACAGCGGTTCTCCTGAACCGTGTGTGGAAACCTCTGTATCTGCCTCTGTATGTTCTCCAGAAGGTTTTATAACGTCATGTCATCTTTAATGGTTATGATCCTCTCATGGAGCTCAATCAAAAGTTTGTCCTTGAAGCCTTGTTTATGGTCAAGTCTTAGTTCAAGCACAGAGCCTTTTGTCTGTCCTCTGTGTTTGTGATGTGAATAATTTGGTAGGAGTTCAGAGAGCTGGGAGATCATAGACCACAGGCTGGTCTGTGTTTGATGTCTACATGGACCACCACTATCTTCTCTGTCTTTAATGTCCATACAGACCACCATTGTCTCCTGCTCTGTCTTTAATGTCCACCCAGTATACCATATGCAAGATTTGGTGGGCCATATAAAATGACGTAGTAAGTGGAATTGGTCCGCAGGCCTTGGCTTTGACATGTATGGTTTATGGGAACATTATATATATTTAGTGGACTCTACAATGGACAAAGACAGACCAGTCTGAACTGGCTTTAGTCATTGACATCAGACAGCTGCAGAAACCAACACATCTTTCTGAGAACTTCTTGACTGACACTGGTATGTGTGAAATATGAACCTTTGACTTTACTACAGTGGTTTGTAGTATTACTATATTAACACTCACCTCGGTTGGTGTTGTGGTTCAGCTCACAGGTCAGGAGGGCTCTAATAACCTCACCCTTGAATTTGAGAGTGTATGAAGGAAACGTCTGACACTTTTCTGACTCTTTACACCAAGAGAGACACTGTTTTTTTCCCCCTCATTTTCTTTTTATTGAAATATAATGTGAACATGTGTCAAATAAAACTGAAATGGAGAAACCGAACAAACCGTTGTCCCAAATGGACCTCGCTCTCTAACCTGGGTGGTGTCCACATTTTCCTACTGCTGTGAACAAATGTGACCCAGACAATCTAACGCTGCCTTCATCATAGGTAGAAGCCAGAAGAAGTCCAGACCCAGTTCTGTGGACGTTTTACCCAGGGGTCAGGGAGTTTAGGGAGTGTAATTTCCAGCAGTTTGACTTGTCATATACGTGGCATGTGGACTCTATACTTTGTTTAAATTTACAGCATTTTCAATTAAGGTGGAGAAGGTCCACACCACAGTACGCCAAGCTCAATTCAGGAGAAATGTGAATTAGATTACCAGGAATATTTTCAATAAAAGTTCTGTCAACTTGGCTTTGTATATTTCACTTTAATGGACACATTAAGCTGCGTGAAGAACCTTGAAGAAACACACACGGAGCCTAATATCACAGTGTGGCATTAAAGGGTTCTAACAACCATCACAGAGCTTAGCACAACACTGAATAACCTCTGCTGGACCTGCTGTGGCTGCAGCCTGATTAAAGTGGAGTTTTAATGACTGCAGTCGCTGTGCCCCAATGAGTAAAATGGCAAAGGTTTTGTGTGTGTTTTGGGGGTAGCAGCAGAGTGAAAAAAGCCAGCAGTCGTCTCTTTAAATTGAGTTTCCATTTTTCTGCTAAAAGTGCGTCTCCGCTGCCAACAGAATAATATAGTGAAAGCGAGGCTTTTAGTGGAGCAGAATAAACTTAGATCGTGTTGATTTTCTATTGCCATTACACTGTGCATTCAGCTTCAACATCATAATGACAAGTTCAAGCCAAAAAGCTGTCTCCCCCAGCTTTAAGTTAAGCACTTCTCACAGTTTTCCTAGCTACTCTCCAAGTGTACTCAGAGCGAGGGCAGAGGTTCAGGGTGGAGAGTGGGAACAGAGGAGGCAGAGTTCTGCCCATCACCAGTCACTGACCAGTCACAGCAGGATTTGCAAGTGTTGTTTGAAGGTTAAAAAAAGGACTATGGATTGACCTTGACATAGTTTGACAATGTCCCCTGTGAAAGATGGCAGCAGCAGCAGCAGACATTTAGCAAAAAAATATCCTGGAAAATATGACTCGTTGTAGTAGCATATAAAGCCCCGGAGTTTGAACCTGCAGCCAACAGTGAGGAGATGCTACATTGAAGTGGCCTCTTTTTTAGGTACAGTACACTCACTTTAAGGTCATTCACTGAGATCCAGCAGGCATTTAACAAAGAGTTTGCTTCCTGTTGATTTGGACTGTTACTTCTCAAAAATGTTTTGCTAACTATGTGAGTTGGTGGGACGGTTGGACCCTGAGCAGCGGAGTTTATACACAGTGTCCCTGTGTTCTGATCCTCAGGTTCTGTGAAGAAGTCTTCCACGGCCCTCTGTCGGTTCAGGAGCAGTGGATCACACACCTGCAGAAACACATCCTCTCTCTGGGCTACAAAGGCAAAGATTCTCCTCCCGCTGCACCGGTGGAAGCTGCGGCTCTGGTCCATCTGCTCTCTGTCTAGACGACTGATCACTGGCCTTAGTGGCTTCTGATCCTGACCCGGTCTTGATCCTGTCTTTAGTAGTGGCTGATGCACAGGTCTGATCTGACTCTTAGATGAGTATCAGATGTGAAAGTGCCAGAAAGTTCACTATCAGGTCTGTAGTTAGAATCCACACTTGAAATGAAAAACAATAAGAGAGAGCGGCCACGTCACCGTGTTCAAACCAGAGGCTCCTTTTTTGATATGTGATTTTTAACAACTAAAAACTAGTGAAATCTTTCAGTGACAAATGCCTTTCCTGCTGTGTGCCACTGCTCAGCTGTCTTTCCCTCTGATGCTGAAGTCCTTGTTGTGTCTTTTTTCCTGACGGTGGCTGTTCTTCTGCTGGTGGAGCAGATCTGTGCTCACTTTCAACAGCGTCTGAACCTAATGTCACTGACCTTGGTATCATTTCACTCCCCTTCTGTCAAATATTCACAGTAACATTTTCCACTGTGATTTTTTTTTTATTAATTCAAATGTACCACTGTGAACCTGTGTGTGATTGTTTTATAAATTCTACATTTTATCACTGTATATTTCTGATGTCTTAAAAGCATTTCTTTTTAAATGAATGATTTGAAATTTCTTTATCATGATTTACTCACAGTATGTTATGTGTATTTATGTGATGAACACAGCCCCCCCCACCCCCTAAAAAAAAACCAACCCATATGTGTATCCTTTGTAAATTTGTAATGGCTCTAAGTGTATGTAACTAAATGTAAAACAGAAGCCGTGTTGTGTCCAGGAGTCATCAGAATGTTAGCCACTCAGGTGAAGGCCCGCTGCTGTGACCACTGTGTTGTGAGGAGGAAGAATGAGTTCCTCCATCATCTGGGGATCCAGAGTTTCCTTCGTTCTGCTCATACATTCCTTCCATGTGTGCAAATGTGTGGAAAAGGACCCAGTGTTTGTCATTTGTGACTAACCCAGTCACACAGAGAGAAAAATGAATTTATGTTGGCCCGCTGACTGCTGCTGTTGCCATCCCACTCGCTCTAATGTCGTTTATACCTTGTCAACCGAGCCTTGTTTTTACAAATGTATCTTTTTCACTCTTTTGCTGGAACAAGTTTGTCACCTCGTGTCAAACAGACATCAGTTTCTAAGGACGGGGGGATGGACACGGAGTTTGTGTCCGACTAATTGCTAGGGTAGAAATAATCATTGCTCAGAAACGGTTTTTAGACTTTTTCTTTTTTTTTACATTTAAAACAGCTGTGATGTAAATAAAACGTGTCAGGTATTGTAACAAACGTACGTCTGTGTGTGTCTTTTCTCTCGTCCTGTCATTGGCTGTCTTCTAACTGTCTATCAGATTGTTTCATTGACATCTTTTTTATCTTGGTTCCTTTATTATATTTTATTTTTTTAATTTTCTCCTGTGTTGTTGTAGGTGTCCAGGGGAATCAGAATCATTCTGGAGAAACATTCCTGCACTGATGGCCGTCCTGTTGCACTGAAGACTGTGAGTAAGTGTTAGTCAAATGGAATGTTATTGTTATGATGTGATTTACTGCGGTGCAAATGCTTTTGTTTTATATGTGGTGTTATTTAATAATATTTGATCTGTTCTGCCTTTTAACTAACGCCATATTATTCAACCATCCAGATGCGATGCAGCTACTGGTCCTAAATTTTGATTAGAAAAATACATTTAAATGAGTATTTGAAGAAAAAGAAATTTCTTCTTTTGAGCATTTATTACAAAATATAGATTTCACGTCCATGCAATGATATATAGAAAATGCTGCAGGATTTCTATAAGGGATGCATGCAGGTAGTGTCCACTCTGTCTCTGTGTCACTGCCTGTGTTGGACAGTACACTGTTAGACAGGGATGCTCTTTGGAGCCTGACACTGAAGTCCTGTGATTTACAGCCACCAGCCTCCAGCCGCTGATGGATTAACCTCGGTCTGCTCCGACATTTAGGAGCGAGCGACTTATCCCACCTGACTTAATCAGAGCAGGACGTTACTCACAGCTATCCACACCTTGCGGTTCGAGCACACACAAGTGCAAAGAGGAGGGTGGTCAGGGGGTCAAAGACCTGATTGAAGCAGGAGCCAAATTTAGGAGCACATCTGTCTCCCAGGGCTGTGGGATTAGGAGGATCTGGCATAACTTCCTGACTCTGGCTGAAGTTCCAGGGTTTTTACAACCGCAGCGGTTTTATTACGCCCGCCTTTTGCAGGGATGCAGGGTCGTCTCGTACAATCAACCAAATCTTGTAGTCAAGTGCAATTGTGATTAAGCTGCTCTTGACAGGTCTGTTGGCAAGGTAACAGGATTAAACCAAAAGGAAATTTATTTTTTTGGACGATTGTGGAAGATATGTGGTCAAAAGAAACAAATCATTTTGCATCAAAACTTGTGTCATTTAAACGACAGTCAAAGGCCCTTTGGCAACAAATAAAGGAGGCAAAGTTTTTCAGTAGCAAAGCAGACATTTTGGCTGGAACAGAACAGGAAGTGCTTCTTAAGTTGAGTCGATGACATTGATGAATTCTGAGGTGAACTTTTTCCATAAAAGACAAACATGAAAGAACAACAGTTTAAAAACAGCTCAGTTACTAAACCAATGTAGAAAAGTGTTTGATTCTTCTAAACTGCTACATTATGTATGTTGAAAGTAAAAGAAAAACAACTCAAAATTAGCCAAAATATAATTATGTTGGCTTTAAAACAAACACAGGGTTGCCAAATTAGCTTAACTTTAACTTCAACGCCGCCTAAACCTAGACAGATGACAAATGAAGAAGAAGGAACATAGTTCAAATGTGACAAAATTCAATTTTAAAGTTAGATGGGCTGTATAATCTTAGCTGAAAGTGAGCCCAAATGCTAACTAATAGTTAACCTACAAAGACTTTAGCCTAACACAGCTAAACTGTGTCCCCCTAGCAGTTAAGATTTTGCTTTAGTAACTAAAGCAAAAATAAACATTGGGTTTTATAAAGCTAAAAAGAAAGTTAACACCGGTCAAAAACATGTGATCAAAACATGTTCCAAAAGTTGACTTCAGACCAGGAGAAGCTAATATAGAAAATGTGATAAAAAACATGCAGTACCTTAGCTAAAATGTGATGCTAATGATAAAGAATATTTAAGAATACCTGTACCTAAAAGTCTTAGTTACAGGTATTATTATTAAATTCCTCATTTGATGGTGTGTCTCAGACCTAACTGGTGATACAGTCAGATTAGGCCAACAGAGATTAAAGGTTGATGGTTCAGAGCAGTGAAATAAAGGCTCAAGTATCCAGTTTCATTTACGTTCCAGTGACGACAGTGAGCTAACATGTGATTGGATATAAATAAAAAAGCAGTGCTCTCTTATTAGGAAATATATGTCTTGATTCAAGTAAATATAATTATTTGGGTGAGTGATAAACCAATAAACTCACTTTCAAAAAGCAAGTGCTCTCTTATTAGGAAATATATGTCTTGATGTTTGTTTTGCTGATATGCAGTTTCACACTGCCCTCTGTACCCACTCACCTCACCTCACCTCATCTCTGTAACACTGGACTGTGTATTTTAACACTCCAGGTTTGTTTAGTTTTTAACATGAGCTTTATTGGAGTGAAATACTGTGAATTACTGATTCATTCTGAACCAGCGGTTCATCACAGATCATCTGAGGTGATTTTCTACTCATACCTTCATGTAGCACTGGAGCTTAATAAACGCTGTTGAAGTTCAGCTTCAATAAGGCAACACTACTTTTTGATATTTACAGTGGTCTTTGATGCTGATTGGATTAAAGGCCAAACTGTTTAAAAGGCACAAAAACTGGTTCTGTTTTTAGACAGAAGCATCAGTCACTGGAGAAACAAACAGAGCACTGTATCTGTTAACTAATCTGCTAAGTTGTTTTATAATACACTGGAGAAGATCTTCATCATCATTATGAATTATTAATACACATTATAAATTATAAATGCACCCCAGCTCTGCTCCTCAGGTCATCGTGGAGGTTTATGACCACTGCATTGTTATTTTCGAGGAAGCGGGGGATGAAAAAAGAGGACAGGACTTTCTCTCCTCCCTCCAGTTTGTCAGTGACTCATGTGTTTGGACGTCACTTCGTCCAGCGTCGTCTTAGATTTATGCTAATGTTTGAAGACTCTGGCAGTGGATGGAGTTTTATCACATAACTAGTGGCTTCGCAATCCTCCCTCAGAGAGGACAGATTCACCCAACACCGTATGAAACTCTGACACGCCCCCGGCTGCATTTGTTCTTCTTTTCCTGTTGTGTTTTCTCTTCCTATTGTGTTTCTGTCCACACACAGCCGAGTGTTTACTGCACACATGAATGAGAGGGTGTGATTAAATAAACTGACTTGTATTTAATTGATTTAATAATAAGGTTTCTTCACAGTGTTTCGTTCCGGAGCTCAGACGCAGCCACAGCAGATTCAGAACTTTTCTTCCCTGGGAAGAACGGCACATTTTGTAAAAGTCGTGTCAAATTATAACCAAAATCTGATGGTCTTCAACTCTGCATCCAGAGAATCCATTTTTGAGATTGCGTTAAATAAATATGTCCAGAAGTTTTCAAGAAAGGAAAAATGGTGCATTTACCAGAACAATAGTGATGATCTGAAACTAAAGTGTCGTAACACGCAGCCACCACAGGGGGAGCCAGACCAAGAAGATGTCCATTTCTTCTTCTTTTCGTTCTGCTTGTCCCTTTTCCAGGGGTTGCCACAGCGTTCTCCATCTCTCCCTGTTCTCTGTATCTTCTACTCTGACTCCAACTATCTGCATGTCCTCCCTCACTGCATCCATAAATCCTCTTTGTCTCTAACATTCTTCTACCAATGTATCCACTGTCCATCCTCCGCACATGTCCAAACCATCTCAATCTGGCAAGAAGATGTCCATTTCTGCAGAAATGAAACATTTATTCCAAACTGAGGTCCACTACCAACAACCTGGTCAGGATTATGTCGTGACAGATCTAGAACTTTCTGGACACACAGGAGGGGGAGTCAAAAAGTCCCCCCTCTGATATACAGTATGTACTGCATGTTTGTTTTTCCTGTATTTTCCTGTTATCTTCTGCAGTGACACACATTTTTGTAACAGGATGGTGACGTCCACTCTTTATACACAGTCTGTACTGGGCTGACTCCCATTTAGCCTTTTACTGCGCTGTCATTATCAGGTGGTCAGGTTGTCATTAGGTCATCAAAGTGCACTTGGCTGCCGTCACATCCAACCTCAGATATCGGAGATGAGCACAGGAATATACTGCTGCTGCTGCTGCTGCTGCTGCTGCTGCTTTTCCCAAGGTTGCTCAAATAACCTCATATAACTCCTGCGTTGAGGTCACTCCACAGACCCTGGATCAGTCGACAGAATCTGAAACCTATTTGCCATGAGCAGCTAATCACGCCGCTGATTTACAGTGGAACAAATACACCACCCGCTGCCAAGACGCTTTTTGGCACGGCGGCCCGACTCGTATATGTGTGTATTACAAGTGGAGTTGAGCAGAAATTAACCAGCTAAAGCTGTGCACGGCTGCAGAACAAAGCAGGGAAAGCAGCGTCCCATGTGATTAATCAGAAACAACAGCACCAGATGTGTGTGTGTGGGACTGGAGCGGCTCTCTGGATCTGACTGAGAGTCCGGAGCCGGGCGCATGAGGAGATAAAGGGACGGTTCGCGGTATAATGGAAGTGCAGCTGCAGAGATAACAGATGCTGGAGCTCTTTATTTTCATCATTAATAGATAAAACTGTCAATCTCCCGACCGGAGTCGGTACTTTAACTCTTTCAGACCACATTTATGTACATTATGTCACAGGGTCACTTTATGATGTCGTTATTTACCAAAGTCTTTGCTTTTGTTTGTGTACAGATGGATGTGTGATAATGATCCTGTCAGTGTTTTATTGGTTTATTTACATCACGATCTGATTATAAAACTATGACAAAGGAACGTCCAGCAAACATTACAAACATTAAAGTCACATTGGCTCAGTATGTCCAAGGGTATGTGTGTGTCTGCTATAACTGTACTGTGGAGACAGTGAGGTATTGTTGTGAGGACACATTGTCCTTGTTGGGACAGAACTGAAGGTGAATGTGATAATGGAACTGTGATAGAGGAAAGTCGTCAACATCACTGAAGTCAGATCGACTATGGTTTGAAATCGTTTGTTGTGTGTGTCTACTGGTATAGGTGTACTTGTGGGGACCATGTTTGGAAAAAGAATTAGTGGGGACATTTTGCAGGTCC